GTGCTCTTTTCGGAAGAAGCAATGTATCTTCTTTCGGAACGAGCACTTCTGGAAAGAACACTACATTTGCTTCTTCCGGAAGGAATACTTTTGGTAATAATTGGAAGAGAAATTAGACGACAAGATAAAATGTGATACAAATTATATAGTCATGCATCTGATTAGAAAATTTTAACAGTTAGGGGATCAAAAGTTAAATTTATTCATTAAAATTTTAAAAAGTATAAAGTATAATTTATAGACTTACATAATATTTTAAAAATTAATTTAAAGTAGGTTATGCCAAACTTTCAAGTTAATGCAACACGGTTGAAATGAGTGTCAGACTATACGAGATCAAATGAGAGTCACACCACACAATACATTCGAAATCACTATCACTACCTTTTTGGTTCCATTATCACTATCATTTAAGGATTTATTCAATCATGACTTTTGTAGAGTTTTAAAGATTTTTAAAATGATAGATTTTAATAAACTTTGATTGACTTTTATAGAATCGTTCAAAACTTTTTAAAATTTTATAAAAGTCTATATAAAAAACTTTCATAAACTTTTATCAATTTTTATTTTAAAAACTCTACAAAAGTCTATAAAATTCTAAATTGAATACATCTTTACAAACTTTCAATGATTTTGATTCTTATCATTTATAATTTTCATCGAAAACATTTGTAATATATCATAAAATTCTTCTTATTATATAGTTCTTCACAAGCATCAACATTCTCAACATTATTATTTTTATCCATAGTATGCTGAGACTTATATGCTAATTACTTATATATATATTATTAATAAACATCAATAAAAAAAAATCCATTAGAAATTCATAACAATATTGAACAATAAAATTTATAATAAAAGAATTGATCAAATAAAATATTTAAAAATATAATTACAAGTAGCATAGAATAAAAAAAATAAAAATCTAATATTAATAATATATACAAAAAAATTATACTTGATATATTGCTAGGCATCACGCAAAGAACTATTATTTACAATAACAATTTGAGACTGCGAACAACAACAGGGTGCTACTGTTTGCAACCCCAAATTGTTGTTACGAACAGTAGTTCACTATTCGTGGTAACCTGTTGTTAAAAAAACAAAAGAAAAATATATATTACGAATATAAACATAAAAAAAATTAAAATATATAAGTATTTATATGAATATTATGAAACATATACTAAAATGTAATGATGAAAATTTTGCTTTGTTCATGTATTTAGGGAGAATTAGAGAAAGTTGGGGATAAAAAATCATAGAAAAAATAAAAGTCAATATAAACAAGCAATAATGAAGTAAAAATAAGATTATTTCGAATTTTAAGATGAAGATTCTAAAGTTTAGGAGAGAGATAAAAATTGGTAGAGTTTAGGTATGAGGAAAATATAGGATAATGAGAAAAAAAACAATTTTATTAAATTTAGATAGGTTTATAAAGTTTAAATAGGGAGAAAAAATAGAGTTTAAATAGAGAGAGAAAATATTCAAAGTTGTTAGAAAGAAAATTTTAAATCTTGGGGTTGATGGTTGGATTTCAACTATATATATTTGAGAAGGAAAAGTCTAAAAGTCTTAAAATTAAAAAGTCTACAAAAGTTCATAACTTTTTGAATACCACGTGATTTTTAAAGACTCTTTAAAAGTCTTAATCGAATACCACACGACTTTTAAAGACTCTTTAAATCTTGATTGAATACCGCCTGACTTTTAAAGACTCTCTAAAAGTTTGAATTGAATACCTCCAAACTTTTAAAGTTCATAAAAGTCTTTAAGACTCTATGAAAGTCATGATTGAATACACCCCCCTAAGGGGGCGTTTGGTTCAGGTTATATAACATAACCAAGGGAATGTGACATTCCAAAGCTCACATTCCAGTGTTTGGTTCATATTATCTTAGGGAATTAATCTAATATTCTCAAGGAATGTCACATTCCCTCCACATAGGATTTTGAAGGGAATGTGATTCCCTTCAAAATCTTAGGTAATGTAAGATAACATTGGTTATGTTAGTTTATTTTATATATATATATATATATATTATGTTATGTTAGCATATAAAATAATTTTGTTTCTCAAATTCAAGATTTTAGTTAATATTTTAAAATCATGTAATTATATATGATACCGTTATCTTATTTATTTATTTTAATTTTTAAATTTATTAAAATATATGAAAATATGTTAAGGATATTATAGTGTGTATAAAAGATAACCCTAAACCAAACATCATTATATTACATACCCCAATTTTAACCAAACATTCTCAGTAATCTAACATTCCCAGCAATCTAACATTCTCAGTAATCTAACATTCCCAGCAATCTAACATTCCCTAAGGTAATCTGACATTCCGTGAACCAAACGACCCCTGAATGTTTAATACAAGAAAGGTTATTAGAAAACCAATTAAGATGACCAGTATGAGAACTAGCAGCTCTAACCAACACATGAGCAAGCATACCTCATTATTAATTACCCACAAAGGTGGCTACAAACTGTCCATAGGATTAGTTTAACATAAAGAAAAAAGATTTAAAATAAAGAAAAAAGATTTACCTCATTTTGCGCCCGTCTTTAGCAGGTAGAGCTGTCAAAACGGGCCAGCTCGGCCTATACGGGCTGGCCCATCTCAGGTTGAACAGGAAACGGGCCGGAACAGGACAGCTCATTTTTACACGGGTTGGGATTTTCCCAACCCAGCTCGTCAGCCCGTTTTTTTTTTTTTTTAATTTATACATTATTTATTATTTATATGATAATAAATAAAAATTTTAATATCATATCACCTAAAAATCAAACCCACAACCTTTAGGATAATAACTAAGACTATATCTAACCAACCACATTAAACTTTATAAACAAACCATGAATGCTAATATATATACACATAGACATACACACACACACATATAATTAGATTTTAATTTTTAATATATGATTATAATTTATTTAATTTATATTTAATACTAATATAGTTTACATGCAATAATTTTTTATTTTGTAATTATAATATTATTAAATTATAAAGTTTATAAAATATATACTTTATAACTTTATATAATTTATATAATAAATAATTAAACTTTATATTAATATTTATATAGATATACACTTAATTTTATTAATTAATACTTGTAATAAATAAATAAATTATTGTATATATAACACTTGTCAATGATGTAAATAAATATATAATTATATAATGTTCAATATGTGTCCTTAGCATAGTTAGTTTTATTAGTAATATCTTAAATGAAAAGTTAAGGGTTCAAATCTTGTTACCAACAACATTTTAAAATATTAATATCATACCCAATTAACCAATTACACAACAAATTTGAGAGGGGGTGGGGATACAGGCCGGGTTAGAAATTCTCCAGTCCATCCCGTCTAAAATGGCAAATTATGCCCTGGACCCGTGTCCACATTGAATTGTGGACACGGGCCCAAAACGACGTCGTTTTTTAAAAAAAACGCGTCATTTAGTTAAAAAAAAAATTCGCGCGCGTTTTGCCGTTAATGGCGTTATTTTTTTTTTTGATTATGAATATACAGTTATGCCGTTATGAATGTACAGTTATGCCGTTATGAATATACAGTTATACAATTATGAAATTATGAACACAGAGCTCTAACATTATGAACTTACAATTATGAACATATATAGTGATAAAATTATGACCATGGAGCTTTAAAATTGTGAATATAGAGCTTCGAAGATTATGAATGTACAGTTATGGAGTTATGAATGTACAGTTATAGAGTTATGAATCTACAGTTATGGAGTTATGAATCTACAGTTATGAGATTATGAATCTACAGTATGGAATTATGAATGTACAGTTATTGATCGAATTATGAACAAAGAGCTCTAACATTATGAACTTACAATTATGAACATATAGTGATAAAATTATGAACATAGAGCTCTAAAATTGTGAACATAGAGCTTCGAAAATTATGAATGTACAATTATGGAGTTATGAATATACAGTTATGGAGTTATGAATGTACAGTTATGGAGTTATGAATGTACAGTTATAGAGTTATGAACGTACAGTTATGGAGTTATGAATGTATAGTTATTAACATATAGTAATAAAATTATGAACATATACTATTACAATGAAGCAGTCTGAAATTTAAAAAAAAAAAAAAATGAGATAACAGTGCCTAACGGCACTGTTACCCGTGTCCAACAAGCATGCTGGACACGGGTCCAACGCATAACGATTGGTCTAAAATACGGGTTAAACGTGCCTAACCCGACGGGTTGGTCCGTTTTGACAGCTCTATTAGCCGGGCTTTGGAGACTTGAGTTTAGCAAAAGGGAGGATTTTGGAGACTTGAGTTTAGCAGAAGGGGCCTAGACTGGCTAATTGCAGAACTCACAATATATCTCTGCAGTATGTCACATGGGACTCACAATTTAACTCTGCAGTATGTCACATGGGACTCACAATTTAACTCTGTAGTATGTCACATGCATAGAGTCCGACGCAGCACACAAGGCCCGTGCAGTGTCCTAGAGCCCATCATACCTCACGGAACAACAATAGCTCCCGACCAGGTGCCCCTCTGCAGTATGTCACATGCATAGAGTCCGACGCAGCACACAAGGCCCGTGCAGTGTCCCAGAGCCCCTCATACCCCACGGAACAACAATAGCTCTCGATCAGTTGTGCCCTTCGAATCACATCGGTCATCTTCATAATCAAGTCCAAGACTAACAACAAGCTTCCCAAAATTAAAAGGGTCAGCATGCTTGACTCGGCCAGACCTTAACGCTTAAGATAGAACAACTACATTTGACAATCTAACCAATTGGTCCATTCATTCCTTGGGTCTTAAAAGAGTCATGAAAAATAGTCCATAACAAATAGTTCTAGAGGTGAAATCTTGATATTAGTTCAATAAAATTAGGATCAACAAAAAAAAAAAAAAAAAAAAGGAAAAATGGGATTTCAGCGGCACAAGCCACAACAATTTGGTGGCATGAGAGCGTTATTTGTGTGATACGCTTTCACTGATAAGACAAAACCCGCACCCCCACCTTTCCAACACCCTTCACCTTCACCGACGTACCAATGAAGCAGCAGAAGCAGAAAACATGGCCGTCCAAATTCGAAACTCCTCGCTTCACCGCCCTCCCTTTCGTCAAGAAACACCCCACCCGACCTGACCCCGGCGGACCCAAGAACAACTCCTCGAACCCGCCGCCGTTCCCCGATCCCTGCGACGACTACCACCGCTGCCACCAAGACTACTCCCATCTCCCCTACGACGTCCTGATGAAAATCGCGGCGACTTTCTCGTGGACCCACCTGCGCACGGCGTCGCTGGTCTGCAAGTCGTGGAACGACGCGCTCCGCCCTTTGAGGGACGCGATGGTGTTCCTCAGATGGGGGAAGCGATTCAAGCATGGGCGTGGTGGGGTGAAACCCAACTCGGCCAAGGCCCTCGATTGCTTTCTCAAAGGGGCGGCGCGTGGGTCTACTCTCGCAATGGTGGATGCTGGGCTTTTGTACTGGGAGATGGGGAGAAAGGAGGAGGGAATTGCTTGGTACAGTAAGGCTGCTCAGCTCGGCGACCCTACTGGGCAGTGCAATTTGGGAATTTGTTACTTGCAAGGTATTCAACCTCAATTTCCAAAACAAGAAAAATGAATTTTTTAGATTAGACTTGTGAATTCCAACATCTTAATTACTACTTGCTGTTGAAATTGAGGGATTATAGGTCAGGCGGGTGGAGAATAAGCACCACCCGCCAGTTAGGCGGAAGCAAAATATGTGAGAACCAAAGAACAAGAGAATATATTATAATGAAAGATTACAATAGATTGTCTCTCTTAATGTATATTCTATATTTCTATGGACCTCTATATATACTAAACTAGATACTAAATTAGTCCTAATAAGAATAGGAAACCAAGACAACTTTCCTTATATTCAACACTCCCCCTCAAGCTGGAACATCGGGAAGTTCCAAGCTTGGATTAAAACAAGCACTCTACCTCACTCAAAATTACAAATGAAAATTAAATGCAACTAGAGGATAACAATGCGAGATGGCTTCGGAGGGACAATGCAACCCTTGGGAATGAACACGCCAGGGGCAAAGCTTGTCACGAACATCCTTGGGAATGGAGGCACCAAGGGAAAACACGAATACCATCACAGCAACATAAGCACTCTAGGATGGATGACTTCAAAAGAGATTGCGCTATGTCTGACCCTTCCTTGGGGATGAAGACGAAGGCACCAAGAACGGAGCTGAACACAATCCTTGGGAATAAAGACGAAGACACCAAGGACCCTTGGGAATAAAGACGAAGACACCAAGGACGAAGCTAAACACGATCTTGGGAATGACCCCACCGAGGACGGATTGAACATGAACCTCGGGAATGAAGATGAACACAACAAGGATAGAGTTAAACATGAACAACCTCCCGATAACACAAGAGAGTGGTAGAGGCAAAAAGGGAGCAAAGAATAGCAAAGGACGCAGTAGAACCCATAGTAGATAAAATGATAGTAAAGGATAGCACACCGATGGTAGATAGTCACACTCCCCCTTACTTGAAACATGGGAAATAATCTAAGGCCTTTATAGTAGTGCTGAAATTGAACATCCATGGGATAAGGCATACCGGAGATAAAGAAACAAACACGGTTATACCAAAACACAAACACCATGGGAAAAGTTCGGCAACAAACCCAAACAAGCCTTCAAATTTCACCAACAAGTCGAAAGAAGGGCAAAACAACAATCTGAAAAATCTCGCCGGAGGCACACTCACGCGCCGGCGGTGGAGGAAAGCGATGAAATTTTTCAGATAAGGTTGCAAGAGGGAGAGGAATCCATTGGTGTAGGAGGTGAGATCACAAAATCACTGGAGAAGAGGAGATCTGACCGGAAAAACTAAAGCAGTCTGTCGGCGATGGTGGCGCGTGACAGCGCGTGCGGCGGCGGATGGTGACGAGATTCCAGGCGTAGGCTCGCGACGATGATCCGAGAGGTCCTGTGGTGTAAGATTTGGAGAACAACCACAAGACATGTCGGAACAGGGGAACACAGTCACTGGTTCGCCGGAAAATAAGTGCTGCCGGAAATATTGGAAGAAAAATAGCCTAGGAAAGTAGGCTCTGATACCATGTTGAAATTGAGGGATTGATAGGTCTGGCGGGTGGAGAATAACCACCACCCGCCAGTTAGGCGGAAGCAAAATAAGCAAAATATGTGAGAACCAAAGAACAAGAGAATAAAGAGAATATATTATAATGAAAGATTACAATAGATTGTCTCTCTTAATGTATATTCTATATTTCTATGGACCTCTATATATACTAAACTAGATACTAAATTAGTCCTAATAGGAATAGGAAACTACTAATAAGAATAGGAAACTAAGACAACTTTCCTAATATTCAACACTTGCTAGCTATGGTTATTAAGGGAAATGTATAGATTTTGGGTACAGGGTAATTTGTAACATTTTCGTTCAATCAACCTTTTGGTTGGACGGACTATGAGATTGCTTGGGCGACTCAGACTCTTGGACCGATCGAGGTTCTAGGAGCTTAGGATTAGTCTAGAGTGACAGTGGCACTTGTCTAAAGCCGACTCTTGGACAGTGGTTCTGGCCTCTGGGAGCTTAGGATTAGTCTAGCGTGACAATAGTTTTGAGAGCTTAGGATTAGTCTATTGTGAGAGTGGTTTTGGGAGCTTAAGCTTAGTCTAGCGTGACAGTGGTGGTTTTGAGAGCTTAGGATTAGTCTAGTGTGACAGTGGTTCACAATTTACCAACTCTTGGACAGTGGTTCTAGGAGCTTAGATTAGTCTAGCGTGAAAGTGGTTTTGGAAGCTTAGGATTAGTCTAGCGTGTCCTCTGGAGGTTAGAATTAGTCTAACCTAATGTATCAAAAAAAAAAATTATGATATTCATGAGTAAGTACTTTATCTCGAAATATGCCACGCCATTCTGTCTGGCCAAACATTACATGATACCCTATGTTTCAATGGAGGTGTTGGCCTATAGATAAGAAGCAAACAGAGAGAAATGCCACTGTATTTCAAACTATAGATATCATTGGGGTTACAAGGAAGCTAAGGGCATCAATTTAACAATCAGAAAGCAGGATATGGATAGAAAACCGCCTGTTTTATACCATTTTGAATGTTTAGTGATGTACTTCATATCGTGTGTAGGTGAGACTCCAAACTCCCAACAAGCTGTTAAGTGGCTGTACAAAGCTTCTGTTGCTGGCCATGTTCGTGCCCAGTACCAACTTGCACTGTGTTTTCATCAGGGTCGTGGTGGTGTGCATAAGAATTTTCAGGAAGCGGTATGAGAATTAATACAATCTTGGTCATACTTAATTTGTATTCAACGGTGCGTTCTTAGTTAATTTGCTTTCTTAGATATGATCGATAATCTACTGAAGCACAAAGAGTCAATACCGCATCCACTGATGTTCGAACCCACAACCTCCCCATATGGGAGAGCAACTTGGTGCCACCAGACCACAAGGTCATTGGCACCGATACAAAGACTTTAATTTTGGGATTTCTACATATTTATCAATTGCATTATTTAGATATACTTGGAAAAGAAGCTACCACCTACTCTGCAATTATGCCTTTCCTCTGCCAATTTCTTTGTGATAAGATGATCTATCTAGTGTATTTGAAATATAAGGTGGAACTCATCATTTCTCTAAGGAAAAAGTGTCAAATATGCCACTGAACTTTATCACTTTTGTGCAATTAGATCATTGAACTTAAAAAGTGTGCAATTAAACCATTGAACAAGTAAATATGTGCAATTGGGACATTTTTCTAATTTTTCTCAGTAGAATCCGATCATATTAATTACATGGTATGTACTAAAAATTGAGCTTTCCTTTGCCATACTAGTTGGAATGAAAGATTGAAATGTTTTCAACTTAAATTGCATTAAAAGAAACCATAAAAATGTCTCAATTCCACAAATTTTGCTTCTTTGATGGTTTGATTGCACACTTTTCAAGTTCAGCGACTCAATTACACAAAAATAATAAGTTCAGTGACCTATTCGAGACTTGTCCCTTTGTCTAATAATGATTCTCCATTTTGAATTTTGATCTCTGCACAAACAAATAAAATAGATGGAGATATTGTCAAGTAAAGGGTGGTTGGTCTTTGTGTTGGTCTGACTTCCCAAAACAATGAAGTTTGTGATGGGGTCTTTGTCAGGCAAAGTGGTATCTGAAAGCTGCTGAAGGTGGATATGTGCGCGCCATGTATAACACTTCGCTGTGCTACTCTTTTGGAGAAGGTTTAATGCAGTCTCATAGGTTAGGGAGAAAATGGATGAAGAGGGCTGCTGATCGGGGTCACAGCAAGGCTCAGTTCGACCATGGATTAAGTCTCTTTTCTGTAAGTGATACACCCAATATATATATATATATATATATATATATATATATATAGGCAAAAACTTGTGTGAGACCATCTCATGGATCCTTATCTGTAAGACAGGTCGGATCAAAATGAAATGTAATACTTATACTGAAAATGTAATACTAATTAGGAATAAAGTGTCCCTTATAAGGGAAAGTGTGATACTTTTGAAGAAAAATGTGATACTTTTAAATTTTCTTCAAAAAGTATTACACTTTAATACTTTAATTTAAAAGTATCATATTTTCTTCAAAAAGTATTACACTTTATCTTATAAGTAACAAACTAGCACTTTATTCGAGATTAGTATTACATTTTCTGTTGACCCGACCTATCTCAGGAGAGTCACTCATCTATATGTATTGCATTTGATTGATGAAGAGGCAGCCATGAGCCAGCTGTGTTAGTTGTGATTTGTAGTTTGTAGTAGTATAGCCAAATTGCTTGAATGGTTGTTTGTACTACAGGAAGGGGATATGATGAAAGCTGTGGTGTACCTGGAACTTGCGACTCGTGCTGGTGAGAGAGCCGCGAATCATGTCAAGAACGTCGTACTTCAACAGCTATCAACATCTTCCCGCGATCGAGCTATGCTAGTGGTTGATAATTGGCGCGCTTTGCCTTCCACGCGTTGATTCATCATACTTTCCACTCGGTCGAAAGGTTATGTGACCTACCAAATCCTCAAACCTTAGGGTAAAAGGCAAGCACTCAACTCTTGTCATATGTTTTCTATAAGCTTCACTTCTCCCACTTGTCTCTCATCTTGAAATGACAATATATCTGTAATGTAATATATACCTGTTGTCTTCATTAAAGACGAGTAAAATCACCAACAATAATAGCTTGACATCAGTTTGTAACGAGATTTTAGGGTAAAAGCACCCCCCCGAGATGTAGGGTTTCCCTCTCCAAAGATGATCCAAAGTGCAATAAAACTTAAATGCTAGGTGTCTGAAGACCTGTAAAGGAGGGAAATAATGGTCCATGCTATAATAATCTAGCTTCATTCGGTCATGCCTATTTTTACCCCTCTAATGAGTAGCGAAAACTGTGAACACGAATTGCTTTCAACTTCAGGGAAATTATAATTGAAATGCCCATATTTTTACACTTGTCTGATCGAATATAAAATTAAAATTTGAGACTCGTTACATACAACACTCTTTTATCTCACAAATTGAAGAAGCAAGCGAAGAGTGAGATTGCAACTAATAAGAGATTCATATCGGAAGATTAATTCATTGGAACATACTTGGTAAGCACCTTGGGTTAACCAAAATTTATTTCCATGAATTATATTATTTCTTCCTTCATTATGTTGCAAAAACTCATCTTTCACTTCCAATTTTCTCTAATAGGAATCATGGAGTTCTTTTTAGCTGGACCATTTTCTCAAAATTCTTCAGGAAAAACTAATATCATTGTACAACCAGTATTTTAATCTCTTATTCCATCATCTTCTTTGTTATGATTCTAATTTAACCAGTTAGGCGTATAGCTTTCTTGATGCAACGTCAATGATAATTTAAGGACAAAAAGTGAATATGATCAACACTTAACAAATTTTACAATTACCTATAACTTAAGGACAAAAAGTGCAATTTTTCTAAAAATATATATTGAATTATACTCAAAATTATATATTTCAAACCCCTCACTCTACAATACATAAGAAAATATTGAATTGCACTTCCATATAAATTTCTACATCCAAAATTATATAAACTTGTTAAATGTTGAAAAAGCTGAAATTCCATTCAAATATCATCAAATAAGAGGGTGGTATGAGATGGGGAAGAAGCAGACAATGCAGAAGGCTTCACCGTTACAAACATCTCAAGACATATGATTTATAGCTTGAAGGTTAAGGGAATGGGAAAGGCAGAATTATGCAAAGAGAATTCCATCAAACAAACTATTCACTTTGAACAAAAGTGTCCATTTTCAATTTAAACCCCCCAAAAAAAACACAATAGATGTGCACAACTGGTCCCAGGGGTATTCCCCGTGTCATACGTAATTGAGAGTAGAAATAAAGGTGGGCAGTCTATCCTCAGATAATACGCTCCAACTCCCTGGCATAACTCAGTGTTTGGTTGATAAGTTGCAGAGATGGTATCTCTTTGCAAGGTGCGGAATCTTTTACTTTCTGGAAGATAACAAGTCTGCCTTTTATCTCCCACTCGGGGTGTTCCTGCAAAAGGTAAATGTAGAAATTGATTCAACAATCAATTGGATGTAAATACAGAACATAAGGGAGTGTCCATCAACCGGTATGGAACTTATGATTAAGTGAAAATAAAGAATAATGGAGATAAGAAGTATACCTCCTCAACATATTCAAGGAGTTCTTTGTCCGAGGAGAAAAGTAACATTTGCCGGGCATCACTTATTGAAAGAGAATCGTAAGCCTTTTCACTACAACCAGCTATCTCATCCCTAACCAATGGCAGCCATATTAGACGTATATAAATAAAGTAATAATGCACCATATCGAACTCAATGAATAAAGGTGCATGTTCTATAAATAGACATACTGTGACCATTATGGAACATCCTTAATTAGGAGCAGTAGAATTCCTTCAAGGGATTTCTTATTATGTACTCATATTACAAATTGGTTTACAGAAGATACACTGTATTTACACAGAAATATGCATTTGAAAGAAAGAACACAGTTGGCGTAAAAAGTGGCAAAGTGCTAAGAGAGATTTCATTCTAGAAATGCAAACAAAAAATCAAGGTAGTACCTGACTACAGCTACATCAATAGATATATTACTTGTGCTAGATAATTTCAATAGTTCAGGAATGTAGAGAGATTACCTCACCGTCTTGGCCAGAAGATCCATGAAATAAGCATAGGCTTCATGGGGCACTGCCTGTCTGGCACTTAAGACACGGTTGTAAGCTCCTTCCATAAATGATTGCTCCAGTTCGACAGCATGCTTAATACAAGGATTCTCCAAGGCATTTGGAGAAAGCAACTCCAATTCGGTGTGAAATTCAGCAATTCTATTCTGCACAAGTAGTCTCAGAAGATTGAGACCTAAAATTGGGTATTCCTGTGGGGATGGTGGAAGACGGTTGCTGCTCCATCACAAAAACAAAATGACATATATCACAGTTAATTTAAATGACAAGAAACTACAAAAAGGAATCAATAGTCATGACTACAAAGCCTCTAGAAGAAGTTTGGTAAAGGGACAATACTTCCAACTTAATTATGGTTGCAGTAAAGGGTAGAACCATGGATTTAAAAATTAAAATAAAAATAACTCCTAATTCCCATCTTTCCTACCGATTTGACAAAGTTACAGGCTGCATGGATATTAAATACAATTGAGATGCCAATAATACTATAATAGTTACCGTGCATCTGTGTAATAAGGTTTCAGCTGAAAGAAATCTCTCTCAAAGGCATCCTGATCCTCCATCTTCACAGCTAAAACAACTGCATGCTCATATATATCCCCTGCAATAGTTACATGGTGTTATTTTTTACATAAACAAGGCAGAACCAGAAACCAAAGTTCAATCTTGAGAAATATCTAGCATAACAATCCTTCATGTAGGCAGAGCACTAGTTATCACCATGAATCTATACCAGAAGGATATCAAGGAAAAACACTTCAATTTCTTCTAGAGATTCTACATAAGATGATCTTCAGCAACAAGGTATTATCATAAATTCATAATTACGGATGAACATTATGATACATCAGTTTTTGAAAATTCCAAATTTTAATCAATGGCTAGCTGCCTAGCTTGCTTACCCTTAAAATAGTTAAAGGCAGTCTTTTAAATTCTAGAATCATGTTACTTTAACACCTGAAAGTTTCATCACACTTATTCCCCCCTCTATCACTACAACCTCGTACGACACAGCCACTCCTTCCCTTAAACCAGAACATCTTAAGTTCTGGCATAGCTATTATGCATACAACATATCGTAGTAGTTCATAATTAAAAACTCGTGTATTAAAGTAATGGGAAGATCTTTATTGAAAAAAAAAATGCAAAAGTTCAAGCAAAAAAGCAAGCTAAGCTGTCACAAAGCAACTAGAAAAGAGAACTTACTTGCAATTGTCAGCTCTTGAACTGCATTTGGTGTTTCTCCAAAAAGGGGAGGGAGACTCTTAAACTCAGTTAGCATAACCTGCAAAAATATGAAGTAAAGGCTAGTCAAATTAAGGTATTCAGAATTCCATCCCTTCTCTCCACTCAACATCAGCTGAAAAGATGTGGCAGTGACGCAGTGTAGTAACTAGTAATCCATGTTTCCAACTTATTACACAGCTTGCCTTTATCAAATTGGGATTATAAAGAATTACTATCCTATTATCCTAAACACAATGGATTAAGGAAAAGACAACCCAATCAAATAATTAAAACTTTCTGCTGAAAATCAATAGCTTAATGGCATACAGAAGTCATTCTTAAACCGATACACACATTACAATGCACAAATGTGTATACATTGAGAAATCCTAGTTGTTAATATTAGCAATTGTTACCTTGAGCTGGGAGAGAAGTCTGGTGCAGGTATCGAAATCGTTGCTCGTAAAAGCGGCTTTGAACCGCTCGAACGATTGAGAAACCTCCGTGAGCTTTGGATCCATCTCTCTCTAGCTTTCTGATCTCCCTTCGTCTTCGTCCCCCCCAACGGCAAATGCTACTCTTCTTTGTCTACAAGAAAACTCAGCTTTTTCTCAATATCTGATTTGGGCCAATCCCATTGATTGGGTAATTCGGCCCAATGTTTAGTATTGGACTGCCATGTCATTTGGTCTTCGTTTTAGCAGTTGTTATATTATAGACCGCGGTGCATAATTGATTATGCACCGCGGCCCATATACGGCGCCGTTTCATTAATTAAATGAAACGGCGCCTTTTAACGCCGTCGATTACCTTTCAGCGCGTTGTTTCCTCTTTTTTTTTTTTTTAAAAAAAAATTTAAATATAAAAACGAAAAAGGGAAGTCTTGTCGTCACTTCCTTCCCAAACAAGCCACACTTACCATCAACACTCTCCCCGAGCTAGAACTTCAACCGCCATTTTTTACTTCTCGTCTCCATCGCTGTTCCTCTTCGTATCTCTGCATATTTCAGTTCATAACTTCAACAAGAAGGTAATAAAACTAATGTATATAATGCGATGTTCTATTTACCTACAAAGAAAAATATGTTCTATAGTACATTCTATGTGTTTTTCAGACATTTCGGAAGCAACATTCATGTTTTGCATCACAAACATGCATTGAGAAACACATGTAGTCAAAAAAACTATAATCTTATTGTAAACCCTAAATAAGAAACACATGTTTGTCTTTTTCATATAATGTGGTCCCAGATGTTTGTGTATAAAATAAAACTGCAAAGTGTGTTTAATAATACGGATTGTGTGGTCCCATATATTACATATGAAACTACTATATCCAAATGAAACTCTATTTCTTCTTAAATTAAACTGTAGTTATCTTCAACTGAAAGCGTAGTGTATAAGAACTGAAAGTGTATTGTATAATAACTGAAAGTGTATTGTAAATGAACTGAAAGTGCTTATCTCTGTGTCTCATTTCGTTTTAAAAGATGTTCATTGACACTACAGTATTATTTCAACTGAAAGCGTAGTGTATATTAACTGAAAGTGTATTGTAAATGAACTGAAAGTGTATTGTATATGAACTGAAAGTGCTTATATGTGTGTCGCGTTTTGTTTTAAAAAAAATGTTCATTGACACTATACTATTATTTCAACTGAAATCGTAGTGTATAAGAACTGATAGTGTATTGTATAAGAACTGAAAGTGCTTATATGTGTGTCGCATTTTGTTTTAAAAGATGTT